GGCGGTTTAAATTTGCAGGGGCAGGGGCGGGGAACGTAAAACCCGCCCCTGCCCCGCCCTGTTGCCATGCCTAGGCCAGAGTCATTCTCTTTAAAACCTCTCTCTAGGTTTCTTTGAGAATGAGCTTATGAGGCTCTATTCTCAGAGAAAAACTTAAATACTCTTCTCTCTAGCATTCACTAACCTTGAACCACAGCTGAATTTAATACCCTACTCAAAGAATTCAAGTATAATACTACTTGCATTAACGATTAATTTTGTAATAAACTCAAAGTAAATTTTGTAACATTTAACCCATTTTGTCAAATATAAAAAAGTTAATATTTTTATTTTTCATTTGAACATTTAGATAAGATTAGATGGTTTACATGAATAATTCCCGTTTTTCATAATAAGAAAGGATATATATATTGTTCTTACCGGAGATCTGCTGTAGAGATGATCCGCCGAGTAAGATCAGTGAGCCTCCTTCACTGGTATGTTGGTGCTCCAAGATGGGGGTGGTACCTGCCACAGAGACTTCGATGCCAAAGTTAGGGTTTGTAGGAGTACCAGTCTCGTATAAGTAATGCACGTACCTTGGTGTGAATTAGGATTGCGTTGGGCCTTGGGCCTGAGATTAGTTACAATCTGATTAAGTGACGAGCTGACATCACACAGCACCTATCCGAGGTTGTCTTGCGCTGTGATGCTGAGCTGTGAGCTCGGCTTCACAGTACGGATAGTACACTAGCCCCCCGAGCTCCGAAGACCGTGGGTCGAGGAGTTTAGGACCGAGCTCGTCAAGGAGTAGTGACCTTTCGTGTATATCTGCTTGTCAAGATGCCACGCGTTGTAACTGTCGTTCCATATTTCGAAACGCGAGGTCGGCGCGTTAGTGGGCATGACAGTTATGTAATGATGGTTTCCTCTATCATGATGGGTCTCTTTTAATGCGTGGTCAAGCGTGTCCCTTGGGTGACACGTGTTGTGACCGTTTTGAATTCTAGGGTGCTCTTTTTCTCTCACTCGCGCCTCTTCCCCTTCGACTTTACTCTTTTCGTTTTCTTTCTTCTTTGGCTTCTTGCGCAAGCTGCTTTCTGCACTTTCGCTTCTGTTCAGTCTCCGTCGCCGTTTTCGGCAACTGGGTTTCGCCTCTTCCTATTCGCTCTTTCTTTTGTGAAAGGGGTACCAGGTACTTCGATTTTCCTATTTTCTCTTTCTTCTCCAATCTTTCC